GGAATGCCACGCTTGTCTGCTATTCTATATAAGGTGTCCAGTTACTTCTTTAATTAATATTGCTCAACCAACCACTAAAAAATGGCTCCAAATAAGACAGGCTCTACTATACTGTGGAATAACATGTTCCTCTTTGGAATCTGATATGAAAATGCCCATCAGGTAGAGCCAAAACTCTCATTGCAGACCTGGCAGCGAAGCCTGTTGGCCACTGGGGATGTGAGTGGGAAGGAATGTGGAAACAGTAACATCAAATCTCTCCCATAACTTATCTACAACCTGTGGAGCTGAAGGAAGTCATGTCTACTCTTGTTCTCACACCCAGCTCTGCTCAGGTTAGCACAGGGCTTTTTCCACTGTCAACATGTAGACCCAAAAGGAAACGTTAAATGTTTCCATTGGATACAAAGCTCTAGCTCCTGCAATGTCCAGCCTTCAAAGTTTCTTCCAGAATTTCTGTTGACTTCAACTGCACCACAATGAATGCTATAAGAAGGAAAGAGAGACACAGACAGACTCTGCCAGAACAGGCATTTACAAATATGTATATAGAATTCAAGCTAAGCAGTTGGGATCCTTCAGACTAAACATGGGTGCATCTAATGAAATGAGGCATGCAGTCTAAGAAATCCCAGAAATAGGGTGGGTTAACCTGCTTCTTGGATGGAAGCAAGTTTTAGGAACCTAAACCTGGGCTTGGTATTTAGCTGGACTGAGCCTCTGTCTGTAAGCAGAAATTAAAGGTGTTTGGGGGAGACACAAAGATTAATTTAACCAGCCAACTCATAGGCTGGGGATGGTATGTCTTCCCTTTTACAACCCTGAGAGGCCCCAGTTTATTACTATGACTAGCTGGCAGGCTTTGCTATGCTGTTCTCAACGCTATCACTAATGCATCAGTCTCTCAGCATACGTACTTATCATCCAGTTGAGAATTACTAATCTCAGGCTTAGTTCTCTTTCCTCTCAGAGGTGTGTTTTTACACCCCAAATGTGCTTGTAAACAGTTTTCCTATTTCATTGAGAGCAACTCAGAATCTGTGTAAAACAATGAACAGATTCACAGCTTCCCTCTGAATCACAAGAAAACCAGAGAAATCAGATGGAGGAAAACAGAGTTCTTGCATTTCAGAGTTTTTGAGCAATAACAGAAAAAAAGGAGAATAAACCAAGAGCAAGTCAGTCCAGAATATTCTTTCTTTTTAAATTTAGAGTTTCAGATTACAGCTCCTATTTTTGTATACAAGGGGAAGACAGCATCTAATTCTGATTTTTTTTTGCTACAACTTAGTAGTTTGCAAGAACCCTAACAAGATTTTTGTTTAAATGACATTTAGATAACAGGCTTTTTAAAACCATGAGAAAGGACAGCCTGTGTTTACAAAAATGACAACTCATCAAAGCAGAAACAATAGATGACAAAGTGACTAAGAAGAAAAGGGGAAAATGACGCAGAGAAGAGAGCAACACCCACAGCATTAAATAGTTTGGGCACTTACGCTTTTTCCAGAAATGCGTCCCTTGACATGTTCTGTGCCAACAAGTTTGTTGCCAAACTGAACACTTCATCTGACCATTCCTATAGAGAGAAAATTGGATTAGATGAGGCTTTGTTTAGATGTTTACTTACACAATGCAAAATATTTTTGAAAATTATATCGTTAGTAAAAAGTGCCTGATTAAAATCTAAACTTGATTTTTCCAGCTACAGCTTCCTTCCTTGTCTGTGAGATCTGATCTTCCTATGCTGTAGAGAAAGAACAATGTTAAATTTATTTTTTTAAAAAGATATCTTGTTCCCATGTATTCGGAAAAAGCAATCATATGGATAAATGTCTGATGCAAAATACATTCAATTTTATGGGAGATGCAAAATAAATACCCCAGAAAATACATTTTCTTGTATGTTGGGACACTGTTCTGGTTGATACACTAAGAATTGAAAAAGGAGCCCCTTATCACTGTTCTCTTAAAATGAAGCCTTAAAGCCCTCTGAAAAGAAACAGGGTGGGCTACAGACCGTACCATAATAAGTCTCATGCTCCTGTGTCCCCTCCTGTAAGAGTTTCTGTGAGAGCCTCTGCATCCTTCTCTCCATAGATCATGAATTCAAAACACAAATATCATATCTTTGGTGAATACCGAATTAAGAACTGTAAGTACTTGCCCTAGCTAAGATCTTATATGCCAGCATAAGAAATACACTTGAAAAACACAAACCAGAAGAAACATATAGGAATAAATTTAAATTATTCTGATATACAGGGAAGAAGATGCAACTCCAAGCAGAAAAGCTCCTCTTCCACAAACTGTACATCCTTACACTATGGTCTTACCCCTCCCTCAGGTTTTTTTTCCATCTTGCAACCATGACATAGTGAAGAAATATCCTCCAGCTGCTCATGGGACACCTTCCCTCCCTCCCTGCAGGCATTGCTCTTCCCATGGCTGTCCCTCACTTTTCTTCTTTTTATTTTCCTGACTTTTCTTATTTCTACTCATGTTGTTGAAGTCTTTTCCTTAGGTCCCCATCCTTTCCCACATGCCCAGCAAGGTTGATCCATGATTATCATCCTAAATTCAGACTGCCACTGCTCATCCTGTCACTCTCTTCCCTTGCAGGTCTCTCCTGAAGCTCTTCATCAACAACATATGCATATTTTTCCTTCCTAACTTGCTGCTTATTTACAGCTTATTGCAACCCTTTTTAGTCATAACTGAAGTTTTGGAGTAGATTTGTTTCACCTCTTTAAAAGAAATGGATGAAAATAAACAATGCCTTTGCAAACAGTGTGGTTGTTGTTTTAGTTTTGGTTTTTTTGTTGTTTTGTTTTATTTTTCAGTTGATAGCATTTTCTGAGTTTTCTTTCAAACTGAAGTTGAGTTTCCTGTCATATCAGTCCAGATCCAAAATTCCCATCACCACACACCCTCCCAGATGCACACTCATTGTGGATATTCCCTCTCATTGGTTCTTATTTTTCTTGAGGAAAAACAAAGAAAAGGACAGTATTCTGACAAAAATTGATGATGACAAGTATAATTGACTTCCAATAAAACAAAGGTTGCTACATCACTTCGGAGCTTACAAGATCGTTTTACCTAAAAAGGCTCAAGTTTCCCCATGACTAGATGATCGATTTGTGAAGTTTGGATATTACCTTTTTTTTCCTGTTTGTTTTGTTGTGTTTTTTTTTTTAATGTGCCAAAACTTGTTCCCTAAAGTTATCATCAGATCTTATTCCTGAAACAGGTCTCACATAGTCACTCCCCACAAGGAAGAAATAAGGCTACCTCTGTGCCTACTGTTAGATGGGCCTTTCACATCCTTCAGCTACCAGATCTTTAAGGTTCACTCCACTTACAACCTCGCCCCTAGGCAGCTGAGACAACACACCTCCTGTGACTGGTATTTCTGGCTGAGAAACCTTCCTCCCTCAGACACAGACTTGTTGTTCTGGAGGCAAACCACAGCTGCTGAGATAGTCCTCCCCTACACCTCTTGTGACTCCTTCCTTTTTTAAAAATGTATTTGCACTTATTTTTCCTTCTTAGGTCTAATTTGAAATAAACAGAGGTGTGAGAAAGAAGAAGAGAAGAATTTGGGTTAGTTAGCAACACCACTTCTTTGCTGTGACTCTTGGAACAGAAAGCCTATTAAGGGCAGCATTTTTTTTCTTCTTGGCAACTAATTTTTCCAGGCTCAAAATAGACTCATCTTGCAAACAGTGCTTTGTTTAGGCACTAATAATAGCTGTTAAAAATTCTCCCTGTGATGCTAACGCTGCAAAGATTAATCGTGACATAAAATATTATTTAGAAATTGGAAATATTATTTTGAGATGTCTTGATAGACTTGGTTTTGATCTCACTGGTTCTGCTGGACTTAAACATGTAAACACTTTGTAGAAAACAGAAGTAGGGAACTTCAGGAGTATCCCACACCCCACCTCTTCCTTCTTTTTGCCAACTGCTCGTTCACAGGGCTGTAAGCGGAGCTCAGTTATTACGTGCCTGTCACAGGCATTATTTATATAAACAGTCTTGTGGTGTTTCTTTGCTAGCTTTTCCTAACTCTTCAAAGTCATCACATTGCTCTTTCCAAATATTCTAAGGAATATCTGCTGGATGAGCCATTTCTAACAATGCAGGTGCCAAGTCAACAAGTCACAAGTAATACTTGCTCATTACCTATCCCATTTTAGGCTCTTGATTTCAGTCACCACAAAGCCACAGCCAAAAAAACAAGACCAGAAAACATGCCAAAGATCACATCAGCTTTTCAGTTTCTGGTTCCCCTCAGCAGGAGGGGAAACAACAGCCTTGAGCACAGACTCAGAGAAATAAAGGAGATGTTCTGGCCTGACTTTGATGGGCTGGCATCAAGCCGTGAGCCTAGATGCATCTTGCTGCTTTAGTGACCCAAATGACTTTGTTTCCTTGGTGTTGCTGCATGGTACAGAGCAAAGCCCATCCTCTAACTCCATGCATGATGCCCTCCACAGCCATCTTTCCCAGCAGTAGCAATGCCAGAAGGCAGCGTTCGGGGAGAGTGCTCTGCAGGGGAGAAAGCCACTTTTTGTAGAAAGAAAACAGCCACTGCAGAAAGGTTACAATAGCCTCTCAGGCACGGCGGTAGCTGTGGATGCCTGTACAGGTGCAATACAAAAGGAAAATATAAATCTGGGTATTTTGAAATAGCACTACACTGGTGCCAACAAACTGTTTGCAGACTGGAAGCCTCTGATCCCTTTTGGTAGCTGAAGACCCCAGCCTTCTGATGTTCAACTCCAAGCAAGTCACATCCATCATGCTAAGAGCTCACTGAACATGATCTCCTCTTTGCTACACCAATTCATATTTGTATAACTCCTGTGAGCTTTACTAACAAATATTTAGCTGTTCTGTGCTTTGACAGGTAAGTTCAAGCAGCAGTTCATTTGGAAACCTATTGTTCAGTCAAGTTATTTCTCTCTATTACATGCATCAGGACACATAACATAAGTTATTTATCTCAACAGAAGAGATGAGACTTTTTTCATTAAAAAAGACAGCACACATTGTTAAAAATACTTGCTTCAAATGAGAACTGACTGTGTGTGAAGGCAATGCTTCTTGCATGTTTGTTTTTGGTGGGAGGTTAACAAAGCGAGCTGCTGCAATTCTAAACTTTCAGCATCCTTAAGAATTTTATTGCAACAAAATATATCAAATGGACATTAATTTATATGGTTTGGTTTGCCATTTTATTATACTGATCAAGCTCTTAAATAGGCCTAAGGAGCTGGAAAAATAAAGATGTATGCTGGAAAGCATAGCATAGTACAACTTGTGAATTGTCTTTTATTATATCATTACTTACAGAGGAATTAATCAGCTTTTAGTGATGGATCTGATCCAAAGCTCATCAAACTGAGGAGAAACAGAATTCCTTGGGCTCCACTTTTCAAGTTATTGGATTTGGGAAGAAAATGAAATACTGGAGAGGAGACACAGAGTTTCACAGGTTGTGATTCTTCATGTTGGAAACAGAAAAAAAGAGCATCCTCTCAGAACAGGGTTTGAGAATACACTACTTTATCTTGTTTTCGGCACTGCTACGTTTGTGGATGCTCACAAATCCTACTTCAAGACAGACACACCCACTTGCAAATGAGCAAGGTCTGTATCAGCACTGCTTCTCTTCATCAGCAGGATGTATCTAGCAATCTGATATTTTGACCATTACCTAAGGAATTTAGGGGTCAGTTTTGCAATCTGGGCATCCATAAACCGATGGATCTGGATGTAATACACCTGTGGGTGCTGAGGGAACTGGTGGAGGTCATTGCTAGGCCACTCTTCATCATCTTTGGTAAGTTGTGGGCAACAGGAGAAGTGCCTAAGGACTGGAGGAAAGCAAATGTCACTCCAGTCTACAAGAAGCGTAAGAAGGAGGACCTGGGTAACTACAGACTGGTCAGCCTTACCTCCATCCCTGGAAAGGTGATGGAACAACTTGTTCTTGGCACTCTCTCTAGGCATATCAAGGATGAGGGGGTCATTAAGAGCATGGGTTTACCAAGAGAATGTCATGCTTGACCAACCTTACAGCCTTCTATGAGGAAGTAACTAGGTGGATAGATGATGGTAGGGTGGTAAATGTCGTTTATCTTGATTTCAATAAGGCATTTGACACTGTCTCCCACAGCATCCTCGTAGATCAACTGAGGAAGTGTGGTCTTGGTGATCAGGTAGTGAGGTGGATCATGAACTGGTTGAAAGGAGGGAGTCAGAAAGTTGTGGTCAATGGGACAAAATCTAGTTGGAGGTCTGTGACTAGTGGAGTCTCTCAGGGGTCAGTACTGGGACCAGTGCTGTTCAATATTTTCATCAACGATCTGGATGAGGGAACAGAGTGTGCCCTCAGCAAGTTTGCTGATGACACTAAACTGGGAGGAGTTGCTGGCACACCAGAAGGCTGTGCTGTCATTCAGCAAGACCTGGACAGGCTGGAGAGTTGGGCGGGTAGAAACTTGATGAAATGCAACAAGGGCAAGTGTAGAGTTTTGCAGTTGGGGAAGAACAACCCCATGTACCAGTAAAGGCTGGCATTAGAAAGGGTGTGGTTAGTAGGTCAAGGGAGGTTCTCCTCCCCCTCTATTCTGCCTTGGTGAGGCTGCATCTGGAATATTGTGTCCAGTTCTGGGCCCCTCAGTTCAGGCAGGACAGGGAACTGCTTGAAAGAGTCCAGCACAGAGCCGCAGAGATGACGAAGGGAGTGGAACATCTCCCTTATGAGGAAAGGCTGAGGGAGCTGGGTCCCTGGCTTGGAGAAGAGGCGACTGAGGGGCAACCTCATCAATGTTTACAAATACGATAAGGGCGAGTGTCTGGAGGATGGAGCCAGGCTTTTTTCAGTTATGTCTAGTGATAGGACAAGGGGCAATGGGTGCAAACTGAAGCACAGGAGATTCCATGAAAACATCAGAAAAAATGTCTTTACTGGGAGTGACAGAGCACTGGAACAGGCTGCCCAGAGAGGTTGTGGAGTCTCCTTCCCTGGAGACATTCAAAACCCACCTGGACACTTTCCTGTGTGATGTGCTCTAGGTGATCCTGCTCTGGCAATGGGGTTGGACCAGATGATCTTTTGAGGTCCCTTCCAAGCCCTAAGATTCTGTGATTCTGTGACTTTCAAACTGCACTCTTTGAACAAACCAGCTGCTCAGTGCTCTTCAACTCACCACTAATTTACTTTAAACATTAGTTAATTTCTCCAGAAGGAATCAGTGCATCACAACTACACATTCATATTTAGTTCACTTAAAGAAAGCAGAATAGCCCAAGGATCATATTTTCATATTTTTCTCCCAAGTTCACCAGTGGCTGTGATGAAAAGTGTTTGTAGCAGAATAGGAAGCCTTCTGCAAAGGAAGAAAACCCTGTAATTGACTAATTTTAACTGCCTCACTAAGACCATTAGTGCTTACTTTGCCTTTCTCCTCCAAGGGAGGACTGATTAATACCTGTCACACAGCTTCAAAAATAAGCTATCACAAATGAAAAAAATATTCATGCACAAAAAAGGGAAAGGTGGGGGAGTTTTTCATTCGCAGTTGGTTTCCCTGGAACATCCGTGAGAGGAAGGGTCAACATTTGCATGTGTGATGTTGAAAATTTCTTGTATTTACATGTCTTCTCAGAGCTTTCTGAAGAGATGACTTGTGCTTATTTATAACAACTTCTCTGAGTCATTACACGGGTCTTGGAAATAAGGACCAGACTCCGTGGTCTGGCTCATATAAAGCTGGGAAACATGTTAAAAAAGGAAGAAAGTTTAGATGCTTTCAACAGCAATCCAACTCTTCTCACTGAAACAATCAGGATATTTAGCAGGATTTCAAAGCAAGTACAGCTAATCTGCAATGCTTTGAAAATCATGTGCCCAGGCCACAGTGCCTGACTGATGAAATGTGAATTTATTTGGTCTACTGCATTTACAAATAACAAGGAAGACTTTGATTCTAAGTTGCTCAGATCGTAGGAGTTATTCAGGATTCAGAGCAGCTAAGCTTCACTAAAACATGCTTTTATCCACTGTATTTTAAGGTTCCGTTATCCAACAGAAAATGGTCCTAGAAAACCCATTCCAGCACTGTTTTACCAAATAGATTACAGTTCATTGATTGCAGGCTAGACAAGAAAGTGAGAAAAAAGAACATATGCTTCTGATTTAAATTATTTTCCTTCTTCCTTGGTAAGAGCTAACAATTTTTGCTAGTAAAGCCTTAGCGTACCTTTTCAATTTCCATCTTATGCTTTTTTTTTTTTCTCCTGAAGAGTTGTTTCAATCACTTTCACTTTTGCAGGAGTTAGGATTTTGTTTCTATTCTTTCATACCAAAGAAACAGTGGAAATTGCTTATTTGCTGATCAACTAATGAAGATCAGTAGAGATAGAAACCTGAGAAGCAAAACTGTATCATGCCAGGTCAAGGCTTTTATCCTGTGACCTTTTTTAACGTAGTTGGACCATCCTCGTTGCCTGTGAGGTGACAAAATAACTCCTCACTCTCGATAAGCAACAGCAGTCTATAGAGAAATTATCATTTTAGCACAATCTAGTGGACTCGAGGATGCAAATCGTACAACAGTGTGTTCTGTGTGTGGTTACCTGGAGGCTGCCATCAGTCTATCCACAGGAATGGAAGTGGAAAGAGGAGCAGCTTTTGAACATCAGTTTAGAATAGATAAAGCAATAAGCTCTCACTCCATTAAACACAATTGAGTTGTATAAATATTGGAAGAAGGAAAAAAAATAAGCATGCACTAAGTTCAATCATAACTTGCTTGTCACACACAAGTTTCTTACGTGGTATGTTTGGCAGAAATGAAGGGATTGTATACCTGCATGGAAAAAATACTTTGCTAAGGTAATGACGCTGATGTCACAATTCTTATCAAGGGCTGTCAGCAGACAAAATGCAATGCTTAACATTAACCTTTAAACACGAGCAAAATGGTCATGTGTGCAAGTTAAGTTTTTGATTGCTGACATACTTGACTACTCAAGGCAGACCTGTAGATTCCCACTACTCTGATAAAGGTCAGCCATAAAAAGTCAGGTGTTTCCAAACCTTCTTCCAAGGATGATCCACAATTCACACATGCTCAGAACAAGCATATAAGGGTATTAAACACTAAAATATATTTAAATGAGTTTGGAGAGTCACAGTAGATACCTTATAGCTGAGTAAAAATTTGCATGTACCATTACTTTCATTATTTTATTGGGGTTTACAAGCAATATTCTGAAGATGAGCACAGGTATTATGGGGAAAAAATAGAGGAATTAACTCCTAGAACAAAAAAACAAAAAATGGTTGCACATTTTTTCTTTGGAGCAACACAGTTCTATAGCAGAACTGACATTTATTTTATAGCAATCTGCATTTTATGTCTTTCATCCATATCTCAAAACAATATCTTAAAAAGACTGTAATTTTATATGACACAGCTAAATGTGTATTACCTTTGCTATATCCTCCTGAAATGCCACCAAGTTCAAGTATGATATATTGACCAGGTCTGGACCATAGACAACAGTTATCATTCGGTTTTCCAGCCGACCTCCAATGTTCCCAGCATCCAACAGTTCCCGCAGTTTTGGATCCTGCAGGTAAATACATTTGAAAGAGTTAAAAAACTTTTGCAAATACTGAAAGTAAAAGAAGTGATTATTTTTGCAAATACTTTAATTTTGAAAACTTGTGGTTTTTTGGGCATGTCAAACATGATAACACTAGGTTCTGATCCAGTTAATTATTCATTAAATTATTTAAAGTTAATAACCCAGAATAAAATCACCACTGTGAATCCTTCAAAGCCTTTGAGCTCTGTATTGGTAGAGTACAGACTTGAAGCTCTCCAGTTGATGGCTGCACATTCCTATTCTCAGCTATTTTGCCTCAGAAATTAAGCACACATAAATGGTTTTGCTTGACAAAATAACACAATCTATCCAAAGGCTACTGGCCTCAGCAGAGAGATTCTCTATGATTTTAATGGATTTTAGATAAAACTCAAAAAGAGAACTTAGTTTTGCCTAAGATATTAAAAAGACTGTATGGAATTAACTGTCTTAAAGATCATTAAATGAATAATAAATAATTCCTCTTCCTTCATGTTCAAAAGGTTATATATTATTTAAATCATAAGCTATATTCCATTTATATTTAGATTTTAGTATTTTATTTTTTTTTTCAGGCTTATATCCAATATAGAAATTACTACATCATATTTCTGTGAAGGAAAGACATATTCAAAGATTTTTATCAGCTAATAATAGCCTCATAAGCATATGAAGAAAAAAAAAAAAAAGTTACTTTGTAACTCTACTAGTTTCTATTAGGCTGCAGCATTTCCAAGAAATGCACTCAGTGTTTTGTAAACTAGGAAACCTGCTTGGTCTTTGGCCTGAAAATGATGTTTATAAGGGTAAAGACGGATGCAGAGAAGCCTTGCATGACTGAATTAGATCCTTTGAATAGGAATAGTACAAATTGAAAGCTCACGTTTCCTAAAAGACAAGATTTTCAGTCTGGTACAAATACTAAAAAATGACCTGCAAATTTTATCAGTATGGGATGACAGATTCTCTGTAGAGATCAAATTATTTCAAAACTGACACAACTATACACTGCAGTTCATATTTAATTCTCAGATGAACCATTTTCCCCCTGTGTCTGCATCTGTTTATTATTTATGTCACTACTATTTAATAATTTTTGAATTAAGAATCTAAATCTCTACCAACCAATACACATTAAATGTAGTATAACAGGATGACAAGCAGAAAAAAGCTGTTTTCAATGGATCTTGGAGGAAATCTTGTATCAACAAGACCGCAGTCTAAAGGGCATCTCCATATTGGTATCATTTCTGCAATAGAGTTATGAATATGCTCACCAAATACTTCACAAGGTTTAGGAGAGCATTTTGAAGTATGTATGGCATATCAACTGGGAAGAAAGTACAAGGCTGTCTATCATAAAATGCCAAGCCTCATTACATACTAGGCATGATGGCAAGTGTTGCAGGAAAATAGACAGAATAATCCTATTTGAGAGCTCTGTAAAGAAGGAATATGATTGTGCTCTGAGACAAAGACAATTTCATGCGTAAACAAATTAATGACAGGCTTTCATGTAAGAGAAAAACAGAAGAGGGATATAAAAATAATAGTTGTGTTCCAGAGATGAAGATTTGAAGATGAAAGACAAATAAATTGTATAATTTACATCTAGGACTAAAGCTAGAGAAATGTCCAGAATATGTGGTTATTGATGGTGTATTAGTAGGTGGGTTGCCTTCTCTTTTGTTTGGAGGCCTAATGTTAAAAAGCTTTGTTTCATTTCTCTGAGATGAGAACTCATCTGCTTTTTAGTCTCTACTGTTTCAAACCCAACATCAGACTGATAAATGCCTTCATTGAAGGGCCTGTCTGGGAAGAGGGTAATTCCTTCTGAACTCAAACTGAACATGATTGTCTAGATGGTTTTACTCTCTTTCACCGATTTGTCATTCCCTTCTTCCTCTCCCTAGCTGAACCTCTTGCTCACTCTTGGTGATGAACTGCAATCATAATAACAAAAGAAGAAAAAAGATAACCTTTTTCCTTCACATTTTCAGTCAACTATAGATTATCTCTAAAATGGATCATGCTGTAGGTAGTCTTAGATCTGCATTAGCCATGCATCACAGAATAGAATATTTCAAATGGGATGGTTTTCCAAAGCAAATTTACCAAAACAGCTGTTATCTGAAACTGGCTTAGTAAGGTTTTCAGAATTGCAGAGTAAGTGGTGAATCACACAATATGAAAATGAAATTTGTCTTCCATGTCACAGGAATTATTCTCCAAGTTTTAAAGGCAAGAAATGAGACAGATCATTGTCTTTGGTTGCTGGGTTTGGATGAGTAAAGTGTTGAATTTTTCTATTCTGTTTAAGAATTGTCAAATAAAATTTGAAGCACACAGTTCTGTACAGCAATGCATTATCTGGCTGCCATCCAGCACTGGTTAATAAAGGGCACACCCTGCATATCCTGGGCTATCTCAGTCTTACCTGCAATATGATCCACAGACTTAAAATAGGTATTTTTATTATAAGTTCAGTGAAAGTGAATAATCTTGATACTAGCAGGATTCACGCCCTTTTAACCCCTGCCATAGGTGTATTGGCTCTTTGGGGATGACAGATGCATTTCCCCTTGTCAGTGACAACTTGCCATTAGCTAGGTCATATTATTTGGTCCTTAAATTTGAAGTTCTCAGACTTAGACCCCAAAACACACTGTCAGCTCTTCACATTCCTCATGAACAGCTCTGCTCCCTCATTACCCCACTTAGATGCAAACTCCACTAATAAGATAGGCAAAATATCCTTTATCAAAATCTCAGAGACTATTAAAGAACCAAAAGAGATTGTCACTATTGAATGCCGGGCTGGCTGTTAAACAGACCATATATGCTCTCTGTTAACTCTCTTCTCTTCTCAGAAGGCCTTGGACTAAAGTCAAGAGGAAAACACTTTCTAAAATGTCAGCAGGTTTTCCTGAGGAGATGATAGGAAAGCATGTGGAAAAAAATCCAACAACAACAACAACAAAGCAGTAAATTCAAATTTAGCTTCTTTTATGTAAAATGGATTATTTTGATAATTCCATTTTAAGGAATGAGACTGAAAATCTGCTGCTGTTTGGAGCTGCATTTGCTATACTGGCTCATGAGTGGACAGGTTGTTTTTTGGTGTAGGCTCTTTGCAAAACTGGGGCCTTATCATGAATATATTGAGCGCTTTCAGAGACATCAAGAAGTAGTACACCTATTGATATTGATTAGAGTAATTTTTGAACACCTGAGCTATTGAAATTCTATCATGTCAGGTAACATGCTCAATAAACAGCAGGCTATTGACAGTACCTACCTAACTTTTCAAAGTTCCCTGTGTAGCACAATGATTTATTAAGTCTGCTTTAATGTTTTCTGGCAAAACAGCATCATTTTACCTCTATTACTCAAAAAAGTCTAGGTGTCAGCTTGCTCTTTCCCTTCCACTAAAGTCCAGCAGGAGCTTCAGCTCAAGGACTGAAGCTGCCTGAAGACTTGACCTGAAGCCAGGTCAGGAAAGTGAGTGTTTCTGAGGGGACAACTCTGTGCTTCAAGAGCTTGACAGATCCCCAGAAGGAGCTGCAAATTGTGAGCAGGCAAATACAGAAGAGGAGACAAGAATGTCATTGGCAACACAAACAGCTTTAGAATCCATTAAAAATAAGATTAACCATGTCCAACTGAGGCAAGCGTTGTCCAGAGAATTATTTGCTCATTTGGTAAAAAGCCCTCCCTCTTTGGTTCAGCTGTCTTGACAAAACTATCAAGAGAAAATACACCTTAAATCAATCTGAAAAAGTAAATAGAAAAAAATAGCCAGAAACTTCGAAGAAGAAAATAAAAATGTATGGAATTCCTACAACATTCATTAATAAAGGCTGAATAATGATGTTTTGATAGAAACCAAGATCCTGCAGACAGATAGATAAAAGCTGATTTCAACCAGACTTCCAAAACTTTCTCCTGTTTTATTTTCCTTTTGCTAGAAATAATAAAAATAATGTAAACTTGAAGAGGCAATTCAGCCACAATAATGACAGTCTCTGCAAAGACTGCTTTCAGCTGTGATTGGTGTTATTAAAATGTAGCTCTTAACACTTACATTCCAATTAACATGTGCTCTGCACACAACATTAAATGCCGCACATCTTTTAATAGTATCCCCAGCTCTTTAAATTGTTTCTGAACACATGCAACACACCATCTGCCTGCCAAAGTTTTCTGGCTTTTTTTTTTTAATGCATTGCCATACGTATATAGAGAAAGGCTACCATGCAGTTCAGTAAAACTGAACAACCTTTCGTTACTAGTGCTTCTCAGCACCATGTCTAAGAGCAGCTGTCTCTGATCCCCAAACCTACATTAAACAGTAAAATAATCTGTTTGATGCTAAAGATTATTCTCAGGCTTTAATTGTTACAGACAATGTGATGAGCGATTCTCAGAGGAGTCAGCCAGAACTTCTGGGTTGCTAGAACACTTGTGCAATTACAGTACTACAGGAAACTTTTTGGTGTTTGAAGACATTAATTTACAAAGCAAACAATCTAAAGGAGTCATGATAGACTAAACTACACATACAGACCATGTGCAATGTGACTTATATTATCTATACAACATTCATTGCCTTGCATGCAAAATGTCAGACACTTCCTGTCCCCAAACACCTAGCAACTGAAATAATTTCCTCATCCACCTCATGCAGTAAAACATTATCTTTAAGGTGTCAATTAACTGCTTGAGTCCTAGTGAAGCTATAGGTGTGAAAGGCACCTCCACGAAATAGATGTCCAAAACAAAACAAAACAAAACCCCAATGCAAAATAATCCCCCATCAAGCCCCATAAACAAACTCAGTTTATCAGGTATTTTCAAGACTTCTGTTAATCTGACTTGCAATTTCCAAAAGCCTTCTGTTTCTGGTACTAAAAATATACCATAGTCTTTACTTTAAAACTGTATTTAATAAAGCAAAAGTTTATTTAAAGCAGAGTTGGGCA